GTCGAAGCTCGGCGTTCTGACGTCACCGGCGCTCTGAAGCAAAAGAAGCAGACGAACTTGCGCTCCGAATAGGTTCACGCGTAAGCTGCACATGCTTGCACGAGCAAATGGCGGCAGTGCACCCGTTCGTGGTATGTGCCTTGCACGTTCGGAGAACTGATTGGGGGGTATTAGCGGCGAGATGTTTCGATGGCGACCTTGTTTGGTTACCTTTCGCGACGTCATTACCTTGTGAACAACAAGTTCGATGGTGTTTGTAATGGGCATGGTGAAAGCCTGAAATCATAGCGCTCTCAAAGCAACACTGCCAACACCGTCAAAATTGAAGTTCTTACATTCCTCTTATTTCCGTCGATGAGACATCCTTTGCTGACGTCATAGTCAGCATATGGCCAATTGTGGTGGGCCGACCACAGCGACGTTTTCGATCGCTCACGTCGCCAATAGGCGATTGCAAGCAGGGCTTCTGGCCGCCGCCACGTCTCTGCACGTGCGGGCAAGCCCATGCAATTGCGAGCCTGTCAAAGCAGGTTCAGGCAAACGCTTCGCGTGGTGGCCATCGAGCAACAGTCGGGGCACTAAGCTCAAAATTGTCTATTCGCAGTGGAAGGCTCGCTAAGGGCGCTGCTGTTTTCTTCACTATGGGTAGTGCACATGCTACCCAAGCGGTTATGATTTAATTTTCACACTTCATAGATGCTTGACATTGCACGTGCTTGCACCAGCAGAGGAAGTTGAAGTATCCTCACTCCAGGGTAAAAAATATTTCACCAGCCGGCGATACCCAAACTTCTCGCCCCAAATAAAGAAACGCGAAGCGTGAATTTTAACAAAGGGTTCTACACTCTGTTTCACCTTGTGTTCTACCGCAGGAAAGGCTACAAGCGCGAGCTCATTGCTCTAGGGCACATCTCAGCGGCACAAGCTCTCGTGCACCAAGGGCAGCTGCCAACGCTATGAGCTCGCGCTTCTAGCCTTCGCAGCGGTACAACATAAGGTGAAACGGAGTATAATTAGCTGCTCTGCCTCGAGCTCGAGCTTCCTGCTTGCCGCACGTGCAGTAAAGGCCTATGCGGAGGGCAAGTTCGTCTGCTTCTTGCGCAGGGGGTAGCGGTGACGTCAGAACGCTGAGCCCTGATTGGCTGATCGCGCCCCCCTATCTAAGCGTCGTCTGCTCCTTTGCAACGTCGTCTGCTCGCAACGTCGTCTGCGTCTGTCTTACCTTTCCTGCGACTTTCGGAAGTGCAGAGGCCAGATTCACGAAACGATCTTACGCCAAAAATGTGCGTAAGACAAACTTAAGAACAAATTCGTATTCACGAAACGAAATTTTCGTAAGTTTTGCGCAGCTTACGACGAAATCCTACGACAGCTCCAAAGCTGTCTTACGCACTTCTTACGATCAAATCAGCATGGCCGACAGCGTCGCGCGTCGCGGTCGCGACGACCCACGGACGTTTATTTTTCTACGTGCGCTTCTCACGCGTCCCGACTTCAAGCAGCAAGAAAAAGGTAAAAAGTACTTGAAACAGACCACGGCGAACAAGAACGCTGGATTCACAAACACCCGGGAAAAGCTTCAACGGCCACGATTTGACCGAAACCGACGAAGCGAGCTCAGCAGTTAGGCCTAGCAGGCACTCCGCGACTCGGCGACCGCCTTCCCACGACCGGCTGGTGTGCTGAATGGAATGTGCCCGCGCGACCCTTGTGAAACCTTCCCGTATTATACTTTGATCGCTGACCTCAGTTTTAGATTAAGAGGTCAATTTCTTCCTCTTGTTATCTCCTCGTTTCCCGAGGCAACGGTGACTCTCGCCGGTGAAAAAGAGGTGAATCTCCGGCAGACGCAGGAAAGGTAAGGCAGCCATCGCTTTGACTAGCAGACGTAAAGCAGACGACGTTAACTGCGCCAACCCGCCGACGCCGTTAGAGAATGAGGGGTCTCGCTGCACACGAAAGGAGAGAAAAAGTATTTGGGAGGGAACTTGCGGACACTAACACGCTCACTCTCGGTTCTTTGCAAACAAACCTCGGCGCCTCGGGACACCTCGCCAGTGAGTCCCTTGACTTCCCTCCTTGATGCGCGTCTGCTAGTTCTTTGACAAAAACAATGTACCGCTCGAGTTATTTGTCTGCCCTCTGTGAAAGGCGAAGTCGAGCTCGCTCGTTAAGACCCGCACTTCCGAAAGTCGCAGGAAAGGTAAGACAGACGCAGACGATGTTGCGAGCAGACGACGTTGCAAAGGAGCAGACGACGCTGAGATAGGGGTATGGTGCCTGGAACGCGTCTCCGACTGGTGTGTTTACCGCGGCCAAAAAAGTGGTCCCTCGATTTCCGCCTGATGACGTCATAAAAATGTCATGTTGTCGCCGGTCGCGACCCTGGCGGCGCCCCAACAGTTGTGGTAAAACTGGCGACGCCTGTTCTGCTGCTGGTCGCTTTCCATTGTGACAGTTCACGGAAGCTAGGGCAGCCGGAAGTTGGGACGCCTAAAACGACGCCGTGACGACAGCGACACTTGCGTTCGCTCGTGCTTTTCGCCAGCATTTCTACGGCCAACCGCCAGGATCGCGACAGGCAACAGCATGACACTCGCGTCATTTGTTGCCACATTGGGACCACTTTTGATGTATGGGCGGGATAGGGCGGTAAACACACCAGTCGAAGACGCAATCGAGGCACCATAATAGGGGGTCGCGATCAGCCAATCAGGGCTCGGCGTTCTGACGTCACCGCTACTTCCTTTCTCATGCGCAGAAGACGAAAATGAGACCACCTGCGAGGCGTATAGTCCGCAAGTGGTCTCATAGTCCGCAAACGAGATGCTCCGCCTTTAGCGCGAGCTCGCTGGCTTCCGCAGTGCTTTGGTTGCGCGTGCCTGCGCGTATAAACTTCTGTTAGCAAAGGCAAAAAGCCCGCACTGAAGGCAGAGCTGGGGTTCTCGGGATGTTGACGTCACGACATCCGTCCGCAGAGTTCTCCTTCGTGTGGATACCCCGGTATTCACACGAGGGAAAAATCCCGGGGATCTCCCTACGGCACGCGCATCCTGCGACGAAAACGTCAGGCTTTGCGATGTGCAAAAGCCTCGCGTTTTCGTATCGGGATATGCGCGCGGGGGAGCAATCCCCCGGATTTCTCCCTCTAGTGATTACCGGCCACACGAAGGAGAACTCCGAGGACGGATGTCGTGACGTTAGCGACCGGAAAAACTCCGTCCTCGGCTCCCCCGCCCGCCTGCGGAGCTCTCGTGCTGACAGTACGAAGCCTCCGCGCCTCCGCCACGGAGGAGAACGGCGCTGCGAGGTATCAAAAAGGGATGACGTATGTCTCACGTGATACGCGCTTCGCGGAGGAAAGTGGCGGATTTCTCCTTCGTGTGGATACCCCATTAAAGGTGAACGGAGTATAGTGGAAGGCAAAGGGCTGGTGCTGGCGGCGGTGTTTTTACTGAGTTCTTAGCCTGTTACCTACCATAGAGTATTCAAAGTCAGTGCAATATAATGTTGATGCAATCATACATCATACAAACACTGTTAAACACTTTAAACGGCGTGCAAAAAAAAAGATCATGTTCTCATGTTATCTTGCTGCAATTTACTACGGAGGTGCAAGCAGATGGTAAAATTTTACAGTAAAAAAAATATCTCAACTAACATCGTTAAAGAAAAATGAAAGTCGTTTACAGATCGCTGTAATGCGAAATTAGAGCGCAGGTTTTTAGGAGGTGGAGAGCAGGGTACGAAGGGGAAGGCATGGAGGAGGACGGGAGGGTACGGAGGGGAAAGAGGGAAGGTAGTTCATAACTTCCCCCTCCTCCGTACCCTCCCTTCCTCTTCCTGCGTGCCCTCCCCTCCTGTTCCTCCTCCTCCTCGGTATCCTACCCTGCTCCTCTTCCGTGTCCTCCTCCTCCTTCGTACCCTCCCCTCCTCCTTCGTACCCTTTCCTTCTCCTCCTCATTACCCTCCCCTACTCCTCTCCATACCCTCCTCCATAGCTTCTCCTCCTCCTTCGTACCCTGCTCCTCCATGCCCTTCGCTCCTCCTCCCTTCCCTCCCCTCCTCTTCCATGACCCCTTTTCCTCCTCCTCCGTACCCTCCGCTCCTCCTCCAGCTACGCCGACGCCCCAAAACACGGGAACGAGCGCCTAAGAGCTGCGCTCGAAACAGAATCCTGTTTTGGTCATATCTTCGCCACCAATCCGCAGACGATGCCGTGGCCTCCGAGATCCCGAAGCGCGCGCGCGTTGGACCTCAGAGGCCATGACAATGCAGGCGTAGCGCGAAGTGCTGCCGACAGATGGTGTACGCCGCGTCGAGGGAGTCGGTGACAGGTTAAGAGTTTCATAGAGCGTAACCTCTATGAAAATATGCCTATCCTTGCCTACTCTTTCTTTACAGCGAAAGCTTTATTGTTTATGTTTAATTCAGAAAATATTTTTCTGAAATAAATCCTACTATCTTACATGTTATCACGCAATGATCACATACATAAAATCGAAATTCCACAGTGCCACACTACCTACCTACAGATCATTCATACCTCACACGTCTGCTAACTGAAATCACCTTTCCACATCCATCGCCACAATTGTTAATCCTGTTGATTTTTTGAAACTGCTGTACCCGTACTACTGGAACTTGATTCGTCATTTGAGTGTTCCATTAACGTGCACGTTGTAATCCCAACCCCTCTGTAACGCCTTCGGGCCCTGAGGATACCAATAAATAAATGAATGAAATGAAATGAAAGTGGAGGCTCTTCCCACCACTTTCCACTTTGGCAGGGTGAACCCTGGAAAGTAGGTCGCCTCCTCTCCACCATTCGTTCTGCTAAAGTGGCGAGACATGGGAGGAGCTTACCCTGAACTATTATATTAACCTGTCAGCGACTATATTATCTGGTGTGTTTCGGGCAGCCCTTGGCAACAACGTTGAAACTGTCCGAGCCGAACTGAAGTGCCAAGCCCACCTTCCTCACGCCCAGAGATTCCAGCTCAGACGCCGTTCTCGAAGCACTATCAGAGAGAGGAGCGGTTCCTCCGCCACGGGAGGATTCGCCGGGCCCAGCCGGGAGCCGAGGCGGGGGAGGAACGGCAGGGTCCTGCGGCGGGACCGCGACTGGGGCCACAGGAGTACCCGGCCTCCTCGACCCTTCCTGGTAGATCTTCCGGCTGAGCCTGCAGGGCGGCACCGAGACGAAAGAGGACTTCGCAATACGTGCTCCGCGTTGGCCTTCTTTTAGGGTGACGCCGAACATTTAGAGCTCTGTTATCTAAACACTTAAGAATCTAGAGCGCCTACGTTCCCGCAAAACACTTGGGAGAGCGAGTCTCTGCGATCTACATGGGGAACTTGACGAGGCTGTGAACGCGCGTATGTTCAGAAAGCGACAAAGGAAAAAAAAAAAAAAAACAGAGGTCTGGCCTTTATGGCACTGAGTAGTGTGAATCGTCATGCTCGGTGCGGTAGCGCAGACCGTATTCTCTTACGTCTCAACATAATTTCAGCTTCGTCATTCGCCGAGGTTTTCTCGCAGATGCCCCAGGCTTCTTAGAGGGTATGTAGTCACTGATAGAGCGAGAACGGCTGTGCGTGTCTTTCGAACGCCCGGCCACCTGCACGCGCTGTTCCTTCTGCCTTGCTTTGGCTGCGCGAGCGCGCGCGCGAGGGGCACGAGTTGTTTGAAGCATTGTCAGAAGTAGAAGGCTCGCGCCAGAAGCGGGACGACTCCTCCCTGCCTTCTGATTTTGTCAGCGACCATAGATAATTATTAAGCTACTCATCACACATTTTTGGGTATCTGGCCTCTAATGTTCTCCGCTAAATTTAGCGAAGAAATTGGCGTCACGTGACATATGCACCAATGCAGTTTCCCTGCTAAATTTGGCGGAAAAATTGAGGTTGCGTGGCCTATGCACCAATTCAGGTCCCCCGTTAAATTTAACGGAAACGTTTACGTCAGGTGACTTACGCTCCCAATCAGTTTCCCCGCTAAATTTGGCGGGAAACTTGACGTAACCTGACCTGACCGCGCATGGGACATAAAAATAAATTCAGATTTTCTTTTAAATTTAGCGAGGAATCTGAATTGAAAAACATGGCGAATGCTACTGCGATTCACAGACAGCTAACAATAGTGGTTTCTGCAGGTGTTTTTTATTCATACTTCCCTTCCCCTTTCGACCTTGACGCGCGGGTGCCCGAAGTGCAATGACCAAAAATGTCAAAGTTTTCTTGGAGCGATATAGATATATAAACAACGTTTACAACAACACGTTCGCTCGTTAATTTTTTTTTTTTTTTTTTTTTTGCAGAAACCGGATCCGCGAATTCGCAGTTTGCTGAACCCCGAAACACGTAATTCGTGTTTAAAAACAAAGCAAAAAACCAACGACAGTGTAAAAGTTGACGGTCAATGTCGACGAGCATCGAGATTCCAGAGACTCTTAACACAATTTCCTGTTGGCTATCTATGCAACTCACTCCTTGAATGGGCTCGGATACCGCCTTATCCAAGGATGACGGATCACTCGTCCCATGCTCGCCCGAAGCCCGATCACAGGTTCGAGCATGCAGCGGATGAGGTTTTTTAGCTCGTTGCTCAACGGAAGCACCTGCATAGTCAGGTGCCGCCGCCTATAACCCCTGACAACTTAAAGAGCCACTGACTGACCCAACATCGTTCTTTTTTTCATTATTATTGTTGTAACTTAAGTAGCACACTTCCTCGGTCCAGGTTTGGGTCAGACTGGCGCGAGCTAGAGCCAACATTGGTCAAACCTGGCACAAGCTTGCGCCAATCTGGCACAAGTATCAGCAAGGGAAGTGAGCTGTTGGGGAAGCGACTGGAAATAAATCGTAGACATCATCCTAAAAACAGATTATTGGAGGAGAAAAAAAAATAATTTCGAAGAGTCAGTTTTGTAACTCCCGTCTGCAGATGGCAAAATGGCGCACTCCTTGCCTTCTTAGATGACTTCGGATTGGAAGTGTCGTTTAACGTTCTCTCTTTCCCCCTCATTAATCGAGGCCCTCACCGCGCTTGCTTTGCACTGCACTTGCCATGTGTTCCTTATCTACGTGCAAAGTACGCGTCACTTTTCGGTTCGAATTTCTTTTTTGAGCAGTGTCTCACTTGGTCTGCCTAAACGCTTTCTAAAAAGAAAAAGAGAAAACCGACGTGTTGAAGGCTTTGTTGAGCGACGTGATCCGTGGCTCTTTTGTACAAGAGATCTTTGTTACTACAATAGCTCCCAACGAGCTGAAAGATCCAGCAGTAGCGCTCTCGCTGACATAGATATGGCTCCGGTGGAGCGCTGTCATCAAATTTAATCTAACTTTCTCGCAGTAGTTATTTCTCCTGACGTTACAGTAACATGCTTTGACATTGTAAAACGCCACGCGCAATAGACTGCGTACGTATTATCGCCATGCAGCTGCAATCATTTCGTCAAGCCCAGTGCCTGTGCGTACTTGTTCTCGACACCCCTGCGTTGCCAGTCTCTTCATCTGATGTGTATTGGTCCCACATCAGGGAACTCCAAGTAATATCTATCACCTAAAATATATATATATATACCTGCGCTTTAAGCAAGCGAGTCGTACAAACCTCACAGAGGCAGCTCAAGCTCTTAGCGAAACTAGACTCCAACTTTGAAGCTCCTAAGGCGTTATTTTTTAACACTGGGACGAAAAATTTAGGTAAAATAGAAGATTTTCCCTAAAGACATAACTCGACTATGGCCACGCGCTTCTGCAGTCGCTGCTTGGCGTATCGAGAAAGCCACCTGTGTTGGCAAGCTCCAAGAGGCTATCGTCCCATACTGTTCCGCTCGGAACGGACCGGACCGCACCTTGGGGAAGCGAACGACGCGCGTCATCTGCAGCCTGAGCTGTCTGGGCAGGTTGCCGCTCTCGAAGGGCAGGTCTCCCGTAACCATGACGTAGAGGATGACGCCCAGGCTCCACATGTCCTCCCGCTTGGGCAGGTAGCGGATACCTTGCAGGATCTCGGGCGCCGCGTACGCCTCGCTGCCGCAGAACGTGGCACTCAGCTCCTTTTTCTTGGTCGCCGCGCTCGCTGCGGAAAGAGAACGAGTTTGAAGGCGACGAGAGCAGCATCGCATCTCGACGATGGTGAAGCATAAGGAACTGCGAAAGAAGGAAGAGGTGTCTGAACAAAGTCAGCCAAGGCGATAAAAGTTCGGTAGAGCTTGGCGCATTTCCCGGCAGGGGCACTGTCGGTTTAGGGGCCATCATAGCCTCACTTTCTTTGCACTGCGGAGTGAATATAGATTTCACATTTAAATATTCTAAGCTTAAATGGTAAAACAAAATGGCTAGGTGGCGTAAGCTACCGCCCGATCCAAAGGGCTCAGCCGTATTCATCCATCCATCCATCGCACAGGCGCGGTCGCGCTAGAGCACTATATAGCTCTTTCGGAGCAGAGCACTGATCTCTATGACAATTGCTGGATCGCGCTTCCCCGCTTGTTCGCTGCAGCGCAAGTGAAGCCACCGGGCTTCACTCGCTTGGCATACGATTTGCCGTTTTTGCTAGCCTTTGCTGCGGTTTTCCAGCGTGCTGACGACACGTTTTCTACTCGTTCGTCGTCATTCGCCGAAGAAGTTTTTTGAAGACTCTGTGTATTGTTGAGACTTTCCGTTGTGAACACGTGGAAAATTTTACGAAAGTGCAGTGTCGCAGGAAAAAGGCACAACGCGTCGAAAGGAAGGGCTGGCGGCGTGTTCAAAGCATCCTTGGCACGCCGAAGTGCCGTGTCTCTGTGCCTTCGCACGCTTGGATACCGACCAAGAACCGACGCCGTGTGTATGTGTTCAGCGAGTGCAATGTGCGTGAAGCTGTTCGTGCCTCTGGATCAGCGTCTTTTCCCCTCGCGGTTTAGGAACGAGCTTAATCCAGCGTCCACTAGCGACGGGAGATGGGGAGAAGGTACGTCTTTTTTTCGTCCTTAGACGATTTACACAATACCGTGCACAACAGCTCCTCATCACTGATCAGTGCTGGCTTATTATCAACCTACGCGACTCGCCTAATTGTAATTGGTCAACAGATTGCACACGACCATATCGGCCGCGCTTCAAAGATTTTCATTCTCGCCGTCTTGTACATTTGCTTTCGAAAACCCCCCTGGCTCCACGTACAACGTTGCCCTATTCGTGCTCCCACGGAATCTATTAGAGTAGATTTGGGACATAGCCATGGTTAATATAGTACATAAGAATACGTACAGATCTCCCCCTTTTATTGATAGCAACTCACCGGAACAGCTGGACGATCCAGAACTCCGTGGCCGATATATATAAATGATCTAAAGGCATCTACGCGCGACACACGTTCAGAACTTTGGCGCGGCGTCAATTCTTGACCGGTATCCAAGCGTGCGAAGGCACAAAGATGCATCACTCGGCGTGCCAAGGAAGCTTTGATCACGCCGCGACACCGGCGACACGTTTTCGACGAGTTGTACCTTTTGATACGGCTTCACGCACATTGCACTCGCTAAACACATTCACACGGCGTCGGTTCTTGGTCGGTATCCAAGCGCGCGAAGGCACAGAGACACGGCACTTCGGCGTGCCAAGGATGCTTTGAACACGCCGCCAGCCCTTCCTTTCGACGCGTTGTGCCTTTTTCCTGCGACACTGCACTTTCGTAAAATTTTCCACGTGTTCACAACGGAAAGTCTCAACAATACACAGAGTCTCCAAAAAACTTCTTCGGCGAATGACGACGAACGAGTAGAAAACGTGTCGTCAGCACGCTGGAAAACCGCAGCAAAGGCTAGCAAAAACGGCAAATCGTATCCCAAGCGAGTGACGCCCGGTGGCTTCACTTGCGGGAGCGGCAAGCGCGATCCAGCAATTGTCATTGAGATCAGTGGAGCAGAGTGTACCGCAATCTAGAACGCCGTCTCTCGGCGACTAGCGGCGAACGCCCGGCGGTTCCAACTCCGGCCACAAATGCATGGGGAACGGGAGAAAATCGCTGTTTCTTGATTATTTTGGGGATCTATGGAACGACAATAGTTTTTGACATAATAAGGGAATAGTTTACAATAATTTGCGCTAAGTTGTGCGCCATTAAATAACAGAATTTTTGTTTTTTTTAATTGCCCGAGCAGCATCATGCAGCAGACGACGCGGCGACGTCACACCGTTCACGTGACCCGCTCCGGCCAATCCATAAAGTCCATCTCCGCTGCCTAAAACAATCGTCTGCTTCAAACGCCATTGCTTTGAAAATTGCCTTCGCAACATTTGCACACGCATCCGATATTATTAAAACTTTGATAAAGTGTTTAGTGTTTTACCAACTTCACGACAGACTAGTTTCAAAAAGTGTGAACTTGGCGTTTATTTTTTAATCAGCCGTGTTGAGTCGATCTCCATGTATTCTCCCATAGGGCGGGCCGCCTCCTGGAACTTTGAGTACCACGTGACTCGCGCCGAGCTGCTCTGTCGGCCATGTTGTCGGCGAAACACGCGGATCGAAGGATTGCGCTACCCTGCTCCGCGCCCCTGAAATCGTGTGCACGAACAGACGGTCTCTCAGGCCCCTAGTAATGTTGCGCATTTCACGTCGTTGGCCAGACATGCGAGCGGAGTTTCGACACACTTGTTCCACGGCGATGCGGTGTCCCGTTCGGACAACTTTATCTTCCTCGACCGTGGTATATAGGTCGATATAGATATAGACGACGTAGCAAAAGCATAGATGAAGCGATGATGTGTGTGCAGAGATGATGTGGATATAGCGAAAGTAGGCAGAAGTAGGGTTCGACTACTGGTTCGAGTATTTTAGGTGCTGACATGGCGAAGATACGTGTATATTGTTGTTGTTGTTGTTTTAAACACACTCACAGACACACAGATTTCCCTACACCCTCCAAGAAGTCATACTTCTGGCGAGACCTCCTGTCCTTTGCCTCATCTTAACTTCGAGCGCAGCCCAGGCTACGATCCGATTAATGCCAACCAAGCCGCGCCGAAAATGCAACGTCATGATGTTCGTTGTCTTTTTGTGTGTCTGATATCCCCAACCAGACAAACCACGCGTAGATTGCGCACTGAATTTGCTATTTTGGTATACGTATGTTTATGTTTATGCTTTTCTAGCTTTTGACTTTCACACATTTGCAACCGAGTAGGACAGAGAGAGATAAGACCGGTTTTAAGCCTCTTGCGACGTCTTAGAACCGCGTGCGCTGCTGCGGAGCTGATCCACAGATGTCGCAAGAGGCGTAAAAACCGGTCTGGTCTCTCTTGGTCGTTCTCGGTTACAAGTGTATGAACGAGCTTTTATGGTGAAACGAAGTTTAAATAGGAAGGCCATAGTGCTGCATTTTCTTCGTCAGATATCGGCGCAAGACGCTGATTGGACGCGAGTGCGGCGTCAGTGTTCGGCTGAATTCGTGTCCAATCAGTGAGGACACTAATCCGAGCCGAACGCTGACACGGCATTTGTGACCAATCTGCGCCCAGCGTTAGCGACCGGTATGACATCAAACATTTAGCACCATGACCTTGTCATTGAAGAGCGAGGTGTTGATACTGTACCGCGGTGAACCCAGAACTACAGTCATTGGTAGTTCTTTTAATTTGGTGAACCAACGAGGAGCGATCGGTATTATGTTCCAATAGCCTTCTCAGAGACAAAAGCGGGCAGACGGCGGTATTTGTCACTGAAACAACAAAAACAAATCAACCCGTTTTGTTTCTCCATAAGGTAGGACATTTATACGACCATTGGGGTTCGATACTGCTCGCCTTTCTCATTGGCTAAACTGACCACAGGTAGGACGACGATTGCGGCTCCGAGTGCGCTGCGGAACGTCCTCTATCAAACTGCCTAAAGTTGTAGCATTTAGAGCGCAGCTCTTAGGCGCCCGTTTCCGGCTTAAGCAGCGTCGGCGTCGCCGTCGGCGTTGGCGTAACCGCGCGGTGCATGATGGGTAAATTTCTCCGCTAAATTTAGCGGAAAAGTTTCCCCGCCAAATTTAGCGGGAAAAAATTCCCTGCTAAATTTAGCGGAAAAAAATTCCCTTTTAGATCTAGCGGAAAAATTTCCCCGCTAAATTTAGCAGAAAAGTTTCTCCGCTAAGTTTAGCAGAAAACATTCCCCGCTAAATTAAGGAAAAAGTTTTCCTCGCCAAATTTAGAGGAAAATTTTCCCCGCCAAATTTAGCGGAAAATTCTTCCCTAAATGGGAGGCGAGCAGGAGAGGAGGAGGGGCATAGCCCCCTCTCCGTATACCTTCCCCTCCCCCTGCTCCTCAAGAGCTGCCCTTTAATTCCGCGTTACAGGGAGTTGAAACGGCTTTCATCTTTTTTTTTTTTACCACAGTTTTTACAGAATTTTTACTGCAGCTTTTTTTCAGCTTGTGTAGACTCTGACGTATTATCGACCGATTGCCGGATGCACGCTTTCTTCATTTTATATCTGTATATAGCGTTTTGGGTTCGCTTTGCTGGCTCTCTCAAATGTCTTCATCCAGTTTTTATATGTGAGCCACGAGTTGTCTCAAAGTTGAAAATGAGAAAAGTATCGCTTCGTTTCCTTTTTTTTTTTTTTTTTTTTCATGGCTATATTTTGATTGGCGCGCTCACTGCAGTATCGGCTGAAGCTGAAGTCTGTGAGTTTGACCACGTCGAGGGTGGTGAGCAGCACGTTCTCGCACTTGAGGTCCCGGTGGGCGATGTCGTTCTTGTGCAGGTACGCCAAAGCGCTGGCCAGCTGCATGAAGTAGACGTGCGTCGTCCTCTCGTCCAGCCGCCGCACCCTCTGCGAGAAATTCAGGTCCCCCGGCTTCAAATGCGAGAGGACTACCACATTCCGTCCGACCGCAATCATCGCTACATTCTGATGGAGCCCATTCAGCAGCGCTAAAAAGTGCTTTGTCACGCGTTCGCCGTTCTTTTTTTTTTTTTTTTTTGGGGGGGGGGGGGGGGGGGTTTGCTATTCTCAGCCTACACCAATCACGCACATTAAATGCCCCATGAATGGATGATTGGATGAATGTTAATGGCTATACCCTTTGTAATTCGAACGGTAGCTTGCGCCACTTAACCTAAAACATAATCCTGTGTGTGTTTTTTGTGTTTTTTTTTTTGCGTAACTGGCTTAGCCGTTAATAGTCAACGCAAGCAGAGGACGAGCACCGATGACGATGCACTTTTGTTTGGCGCTGCTTGATTGACTCCCGCCGAATCGTAGCGCCGGTTGCGTTCGGACTTAATGTAAAACAAAATATAACTTGAAAAAAAAAAAAGGTCAGTTTTTTTTTATGCGGTGCACTTTAAAATTTTTTTTGTTTTGTTTATTTTGTAAATATTCAGTTCTTCGCTATAGCCTGATTTTGCCATGTACGTATATTTGAAAGATACACCGAGGGCGGATTGTTAAAACCTTTTGCCTTTCAAATTACTTTTTTGTTTTCAGGCGTACACTGTTTGAGCTTCTTAAGAAAAGAAAAAAAAAATATTGGCTAACAGTTCGAAAGAGCATTTCTTAACACAAAAAAAAAACTTAATAAAGCTCACAATAAAAAAAAAAAAAAAAAACTACGACAGGGACAATGTAAAGTAATATTTACATTGTAAAGTAAATACCTGTTTTATGCATAGCGCAGCCCGACCGGAGTCAGCCACTTGGGCGCCTTTTAAAATCAGCTAATCTTTTCCGATGAAGTAAAGAATGAAGAAAAAAAATAATTCAGGAGTATTTTCAAAATTTCACAGCTAAAACTATACTTCTGGAACGTAAGTATAAATACCAAAGTTGCAACAAAACAAAACAAAAAAGTCTCTAAGTATAGTCAAATAGGAGGCCAGAATACCTCACGGTCTTTTCAAACCTCCTTGGCAAAACAAGGACTACAAAGATTGCAGTCATCATGCCTGTATCTTCTCGAGTAGGTCGCCTCCGCCAGCCAGCTCCATGATGATGAAGACCTTTTTGGGCTCCTCGATGATGGTGTAGATGCGGGCAATGTGCGGATGCCTCGTCGAGCCCAGGATCTTCAGCTCCCGAGGCAAAAATTTGGTCTGGTAGATGGACGACGTCAGCTCCTTGGACACGATCTTGCAGGCGTACGTGACGCCCTCCTTCATCACGCACCTGCCGAAAGTCATTGGCAAAAGCCTTATCATACACAGAACTCTGTAGCTCTCTCGCTTGTTTCTTTTTTTCGGTTTTGCGAAAGCGCTTTTTTCAGTGGCCGGTACTTTTGTGTGTTTGACGCGCGCTTGCCTCGCTCGCCCATATGGAGAACTTGAGCGGTTCGCACTGTTTCCCTGACATGTTGAAGTGCAAACGTGCTGTTTACAAAACGTCATGTCCTACTGTAATTATGAAGTTGACTGGAACCACTAAATGAGCTACGCTTTCAGTATTGGCACTCTGTTCACCGATAAGCGCCGCCATCTTGGTGCTTATGCCAGAGCAGACGCAACTCCCAATCGTAATGATCCAAAAGTGTGGCTTCCTCAGCATTATATTCGGTGTTAGGAGGCTCTTGTAATAATGTTTTGCTTTATCGCGAACTGTTGAAACATTTGTGGAAGTCGGAAAAGCCTTTCCTGTGATTTTAGATAAAGCTCCAGAGGACTTGCAACCATGTTTTTAAGACCCAGGAAGGGTAAGTGTTGTTAGTCTGTAGCGTAGCTTATTTAGTGGCTCTAAAGTGGCCTTTGGAGATTTTTAGAAGAGGAGGCCCCAATGGTTCCGCCTAGTGGCTTGGGGCCTATCACTGCGTATGCGCATAAGTTCTTGCCAGTCGCAATGGGACGCCTCAAACTTCTTGGGGAACTCAGAGCGTTAAGGCGACCTATTCTCAAACTCCCATTTACCGAGGCCTCCTTGCAACAAGACTTGAAAGGCGGCGTCATACTTTCGTTCCGTGCGCTGCCATTCATACAGGTGCCTCAGCAAATGGGTGGTGCTTGAAAAGTTACCCGTGTTTTGACTACGGTTGCATGTTATTAAACGGATCTGTTTCAAACGGCACAAAATGTCGTCAGCTGCAATTGTTTATTGATTCGTAAATGTATCGCGAGTATTATCGTAGCTATTTTAATTTCCCCAAACGAAGGCCCTGCCATGTAATAATAAATATTTCACCTTTTTTTTTTTTTTTTACCGGCACACGAAGAAGCACGCGTTGATTGCGGGCAGCACCGATGGCCAGTACGTGACAGAAAGCCTAGGTTTAAGAGATGGGGAGCGTTCGCAGTTTAATGGCGGACACCTCCTGCGGCGATGGCTCGAAAGTGCGCATGCGCTGCATTTTCTTGTGGCGGGGAGGAAAGCAGGAAGAAAGGCAAAAACGTTTGCAGACGATCAACGCTGAAGGGACTGCATTTAATGGAGGGACTGCGTCACTGGGGGAACTGCATTCTGCAGGCTCTCGATGTCATGAACCGACCAAGAAATAAATAGGACCCGTACGCGAAGATCTAAAAGTAAAAAGACTCCATGTGTCTTACAGTAGAATTGCCGAACCTTCCGACAAAAGCCAGCAGAATTCAAAAAAGGACTTGATAAAATGGGTGAAAACAAACGGCTGATCATCCTGCTGCAAGAAACAAAAGCAGACTCAATCAAAATTAGAGGTTACAACATTTATACGCAAACCGCCGCCAAGACCGACCGTGATACACCAGAGAACCCCATGCCTGCTGATAGCAACGCTGACAGCCAAGGATACCTCCCAGGCACAACTCAACACGCAACATCTCTGCAACAACGCGCAGGAAGTTGTGGGCGTCAAAGTACGAATAGGGGATAACGACTCTAGAATCTTTAATACCAATACCAGACTGCACAGACGGGAAGGAAATAACATGTCATGGCTAGATGACGTGAAACACGGCAATATGCCTCCGCTGGTGGTCGGCGACTTCAATGCCCAACACACAACGTGGGGATATAAGCGAGAAAACCAACGCGGAAGAAGCCTAAACAGCAAGTGCAAACAGCTAGGGCTTCTTCTTAGGAATGAGCCCGACCCACCAACCAGACTAGGACTCAACCCAAGGGAAGCGGATACAACACCGGACTTAACATGGACAACCAAGACCCTAAGGGTGACCTGGCACACAAAGCCGGACCCCATGGGAAGCGACCACTTTCCCATCAGTATTAAATTGCACATCAGTTTTGGTGCGAAAAAGAGGTCCACTTTATTAGATGGGATAGGTTCCGAACGCTGCTATGAGTGAGCAGCACAGAAGACCTAACACGCTGAATACAGTTGGCCATGGCCGGCGCAAAAAAAGAGTACCAAGTGCGAGAAGACGCACCCGCGCCAGACCTACATCTACTTAACCTATGAGCCAGCCGCCTTCAAGCCCTACAACTGTACAGAAAGAAGAAACGAGACAAAAAAAAAACTCAAAATCAAGCTCAATCTTGCTACGGCTCGAGCAAAAGCTACACACTGGAGGTCGGCTAAAATGGTAAACGCACTGTGGATCCTTCAACGAGAAGACAGGGCTAAGAAACACCCGGCGCACCTGCACAGGGATGTGCGGAAAGACTAAAAGCAAAGGGATGGGAGCCAACCTGGCTCTCAAACATGGAATATCAAAAGCTGAGTTAGCAATTCAAGCCGGAAACAGCTTCTTCCCGCAGCTCCTGGAAACACAAAGCAGACTTGCGCCCTATGCAAACAGGATTCAGGCAAGGCCTCTCAACGCACGACAGCTTGGCCATGATACACCGAGACATAACATCTACTCCCCCAAAAGGACAACCTTATACCATCGTGGCAGTTGACATTAAAAAGACATTTGATTCCATACCGCATGAAACGGTCATAAAAGTGGCCGAGAAAAGGGGCATCCGAGGCAGACTGCTGAATTTTATAAATTCCTTCTTGCAGGACAGGACTTACAGCGTTCACATGGGCAGCACCAATGGACCGATCTCAAATAATGCGATTGGAGTAGCCCAGGGCACCGTTATCTCCCCCACGTTGTTCAACATGGCCGTGACGGACATCGCTTTAGCACTGGAAAGAAAAGCGGCAGAAGTAAGTTTCACAATCTACGCCGACAATATTACTATCTGGACGGCAACAGGGGAAGCTAAAACCCAAGAGGAACACTCGCAAAAAGCGCTTGACATCACCGTTGGGTTCCTTAAGGAAACCGGGATGAAGATCTCGGTCGAAATGACCAACTATCTGGTTGCTGCAAGCCAAAAACGCGAGGCAGCAGAACATCGGGGATACCATCTGCCTGCACATTGAAGGAACGAGGGTCGAGAGAAAGTCCAGCATAAAAATTCTTGAATTAACCTTTGATGAAACCGGAGGCGTTCATAACTAGGTAAAACAAACGCAATCTCAATGGAAACAGGGACTCACTTTTATAAGGAGAACGACTAACAAGGCGTGGGGAGCAAACGAGAGGGCCTTGAAGAATATGATACGAGTGCTGCTCATTTCCTCCGGCTAGCAAAAACCCAGAGAAGAAAGTTAGAGATACTTAACCATTCAGCCATTAAGGTGGTTACTGGGTTGCCCAAGTATACCAGACTTACGGATTTAAGAAGCGCCGCTCAGATGAACTCCCTCGAGGATATCGCAAACGAAGTGAGGAGAAGTCAACTCGATGGACTGGAAAGTTCACCCGCCGATCTTATCATCCTCCAAATGCTTCGAAAGACACCGCAACAAGGCCTCCATATCGCACTACCGAACGCTCCCTGGGAGGATGAGGCGGTAGTGAACCTGAAATCCACACCGAAGAATCAAAACAGGACCCAACCAAAACGCAGCGAAAGCAAAGCAAAACGCCACAGGAGAGAAGTAAAGGCAATTCTTAAACAGGGAACCACGGAAGTAATTT